CCCCCCCCCCCCCCCCCCCCCCCCCCCCCCCCCCCCCCCCCCCCCCCCCCGCCACTGTCCTTTTGAGGAAGAGCGTGGGGGAGGCGGTAGCCCAGCTCTGAACTCCTGGCTCCTCTATTTAATGACCTGGTAAGATAGTGAAGTCCAACTCTGACTGGGGAGGCGGCCCCACCCTGCTGAATGTTCAGGAAAATGCATCTTTGCTGTGAGCTGCCTGCCCAGGCAGCAAAGCTTCCCATGTAGGTTAATCCCACTCTTTAACCACCTCCTTCCCTTGCTGGAGTCAAGAACCCTCAGACTCACTTTGACTGGTGGGTTCAGGCCAGAGTTCTTTCTCCTGTGGTTGAGTGGGAGATTCTTGTGGCCTTTGCCAGCCCCTCATCTGTAAATGAGGATAATAGTAGAATCTACACCGTAGGGTTATTGTGTGGCTTAAATGAGTTAAAGCTTAGAGCAGCCCCCAGCGCACGGCAAATAAAGGTGAAATACGGGTTTGCTAGAAATAGGATTCCTTCTTGTTCTACACTAGGTTAAGTTAGAGACTGTTCATGAGTGGGACAAAAATAGAAAAGTATGGAAAAGGAAGATTCCAGAAAGGGACCATTTTCTGGAGCACCATATAGTTCCATGAATGCCCAGTCCAAGTGAGAAACCCCAAGATGATACTATTGCCAGGTACTTCACTCTGCTGAGTATGGTGGTGGGCACTTTTAAGGTTTCTTGAACCACCTTCTTGTTTTTATCTGCAATTAAATTCTAGCTTGTCTCCGGTTGCCACTTCTAATGCATCTAATTAGGCATCATGGCCAGTAGATGAAGAAGTCATGCACTGAACGATGCTGCATCGCAGTAACTATGTGGTAAACTGGTTTGCCTTTTTCTTGGCTGGCAAAGGACATGGCATGAAGCCATCACAAGACTTATGATTTCAATTCTCCCCCACCCATGGGGTCATGTTCCCTCAGTACACTCTTTCATCTGGCCTCAATTCAGGGAACAATATTCCTAACTGAATTAGAGATTATCTAAACATGTTTTCCCTGCTCTGTAAAGGTCAAGGACAAAACTGCGTGTGGAAGTCAGATATTAAGTGTCAGTGAGGTTGGGGTGGGAGAGTGGAAATCCTAGAGGCAGGTTTGGCCAGTCAGATGCCACCATCCTCAAGGACTTTCTCAATCTTTCCTTCCCCCTCCCAGAAATGGGCCTTTCCCTTGGGTTCCCATTCTGACTCTCCACCTCTTAGCCCCTGGCTTCCTCACCAGCCTCATCCATATCCCTTCAATTCGCACCAGTGTTATCTCCAACTGCTGTTTACTAGGACCCATCATTCTGTTTCAAGCATTCCATTGTAAATCCATCCCCTCTTTTCATTTCTGCTGCTCTTGAATGTATCTAGGAGCTCATCATTTCATGCTTAGAGTCTTACAAATAGGCTCCAAAACTGGTCTGTCTGCTTCCAATATGGCCCCATTTCAGCGCCCATCCTGTGTTTTGATATCGTCAAATCTCTTGCCAAGCGAGCATGCAGATAAGCCATGATGTTCTCCTGCTGAAAATCCTCCATAGCTTCTCATTGCCTCTGGATTAGGCCACTCATTGTGACACGGCTCTTCATGGTTTGGCTTCTGCCTCCGTTTCTAGCCTCATCTCTCACCCGTCCTTTATATGTCCCCCAGTTTTCACCCCATGATATTTTCTGCAGTTCCCCAAGTGCTTCCTGCTCTCACAGACATGCCTTTAATCGAAAGCTCTTTCCTGTTTCCCCACCTGGAGAACGTCCAGGTCTGCCCAAGCTTTGGCCACTTGTCCCATTTTCCCTGTTACTTGTCCTCATGCCAATTAAGCTCAGTGCTTAATACACTCCTGTTAAAGCATTAACCATGTTGTGTTTGGTTGTTTGTATGTGTTCTTGGTGGAGTTATGTCCCCCCTAAAATTTATATGTTGAAATCCTAACTCTTAATACCTCAGAATGTGACTTTATTTGCAAATGGGGTTGTTGCAGATGTAATTAGTTAAGATGAGGTCATACTGGAGCAGAATGGGCCTTAATCCAATATGACTGGTGTCATTATAAAAAGGGGAAATTTGGACACAGAGATATGCAGAGAGAGAGAATGCCATGTGAAGATGAAGGCAGAGATCACAGCGATGCTTCTGCAAGCCAAGGAATGCCAAAAATTGCCAGCAAGCTACCAGAAACTAGGTAAAAGGGCTGGAACAGGTCCTCCTTCATAGCCCTTGGATGAGAACAACCCTGCCCACACCTTGATCCTAGCCTTCTGGCCTCCAGAACTGTGAGACAATACATTTCTGTTGTCTAAGCCTCCCTGTCTGTGGTGCTTTGTTACAGCAGCCCTTGCAATCTAGTACAGTGCACGTCTGTCTTCCTCACTGGAGCGTGACCTCTTGAAGTGCAGAGGGAGGGTGTTATTTATCCATGGACCTAGAGCTCTGAGAACAGAGCCTATCACCTGGAAAATGCTCAAGAAATTTTTGCTGAGTGAGTGAATGGGAATCACTGAGTGAGGGATCTTAGGCCATCTCTGCAACTGTAGCGTCTCACAGATGGCTTGGTACACAGTAGGGGCTTAACTATTGCTTACAATAAAAATAACAGTTTTGGATCCTGTAGGAGACACAGAAGAAATATAAGACATTGTTCCTGCCTTCAAGCATTTTTTATGATTATCATAGAAATAAGATCTGTCTGTACCTATGAGACAATTGAGAAAAAGTATGAGGCAGTACACTGAGCAGATTAGAGAATCTGTGCCATTGCATGCATTAGGAAGAGCAAATGCAGAGGGCCCTTGTTTTTTCTTTCAGTCTAGCTAAATATCAAGCTTTCTACTTCCAGGAATTAAATCATGAAAACAACAGAGTCAATATTTAAACACAAGAGTTCCTCAATCTGTAAAGGTTATACTCTATTTTTGTCTTGCACATGTTCACATGTCGCTTAAAACATGACTAGTTGTTTCTTGTTTGTGTGGTTGTTTTCTACAATAGACGGTAACTCCATGAGTACAAGGCCAGCATGCTTTCTCCCTCCTTTTTCTGCTTTCGTAGGACCTTCTATATCACAAGGCGTAGAGCTGAGAATTAACGAATTCCTGTAGAATAAATGGTGTTTGGGTATGTAGGTGTATGTGTGCTCATGTGTGGGAGGAGTGGTTTGAAAAGGAGTCTTTAAAATAAAAATCTGGACTTATAAAATCTGGCCTCAGATAAATGTTAACTATTATATTTAGTTAGAATATCTAAATCTTAGAAACC